TATTTTCGGTTTCCACTAGGATGTTCTGCTGCTTAGCCAGTTCATCCGGCCTCATGGAGGCATGCTGCCACGAAAGATCACAGGCCTATGCCAGGAAGAACACCGCAAGATTGAGGAGTGTGTGAAGATGGCCCACCGAGCAGGTAGAAGGTCCTGGGGACCAAGAGGGGCAGAGGGCCGCAGGCGCTCTCTCCCTACCCGGCTGCCCCATGTTTCAGCCCCTCCTGAAAGAAAAGAGAATATCCAGAGTGTTAATTATACTCCCCATCCAATGCCCACCTCCCCACTCCCTTGGGCTTTCCCTCTGGCCCCCTCAGAGCTGCAGAGGGAGCTGCAAAGACTATCCCATCTTCCCCCCACTCAGGTCTATTACCAAATCACAGGCCTCGGCTTCCTGAAGGAGTTGTTCCGAAAAGCAAACCTCAACTCAACCGGTAAGCAAGCCTGGGTGTGAACAACCTGAGCATTCTGCAGGCCCTTAGCCCTCACTGGCTTCTACTGGGGAAGCTACTTGCCGGAAATCATCCCACAGCTCAGGAAAGCTATGCACCTTGGCTGTCTGTTCCATTCCCTGCCAGCTTGAGCATCCACCCCCATCAGTCCACCCCTGCTGCAGTCTTTGCTTCTTCTGTTGCCTTCTTTGCCTCAGCCTCTTTCCTCTGCTTCTTCTTTTGCCTCAGCCTCTTTCCTTCCCTGTGGCACCCTTAGCAAAGGGGCAAGGAGGGTAAAGGCCTGCTGATTGGGCATTAGAATGTGCTAATCCCCCATTTATGACATCACACTGGGTTGCTATGGGGATGTTAGTACTACTACAAACTTTCAGTATCCCAGCTCTCTCCAGTGCTGGGGTTATTAGAGGACAGAAGGCCTTAGAAATGGGAGGGCCTTCTGGGTTAGTGCCACTGAATAAAGCTGTGCAGGTCGCATACTGGACAACTTCAGGGTAATATCCATGTGGACTAGGTCACAAATAGTGCTCCCCAGAGTTGTACAGTTAACAACCTACACAGCGCCATGTGGCAGCCTAGGAGGCCCTGAGTTCATAAAGAGAAGGAGAGGATGGCCCCCAGCCCCTGGAATCACTCTGTCTGCCTTTTAGTCTAAGCAGGACCCTGTAGAGTAGGGGCAGATTCTTGTCTGACATTCAAGCAGCTGTCCCATTGCAAGTTCCCTTCTTCCCTCCTCTCTGGCATCAGCACACTTACAGTCTTAGATCTCTAGTATCCCCTTGTTGAGAGTAGAGCCAGGTCTGTAGAATTGATTTGAGGGGGTTCTTCTCCCCTGCGAATGGCCCTTTCCTCCTGTCCAGCTGGTGGTTCCCAGACTGGAGTGAGGAACACATTAGGTGGGTGCAAAAGTAATTGCAGTGTTTGTCCTTTTTTTAATGGAATGCTCTCTGTAAGGTATCAAAGATGACTGACACAAAGCAAACGCCTCAGCCCCCAGCAAACCTCCTAGGCTGATCCCCACCAGAACTCAGGCATGGAGGGTAAGGGGCTGCAGGGGTTGTGGGATGTGGGAATGTAGGGCTTCTTCCTGGTACCCTGCCTCTCTGTCCCCGGAGGCTAAGTCAGAGCTGGACCTTTACCAACACCATGCCAGCACCCTGGCTGTGTGCCCGTCTCTACCTGCACCCCCCACACTGCTAGCTCAGCCATCTGCCAGCAGCTCTTGAAGAGCAGGACATGCTAACCTCTTCCTATGTCTCCTAACTGTGCTATGGACCATTTGAGGGTTGAACCCACCCCCTCTGGCTTTTTAAGAGACAGCAGCAGGCCTGAGGACACAATCCATCCTGCCTCAGGCCTTTGAAGCTAGGCCAGGCACCCTCCCATACATCCGGCATCCTTTAACGTGACACAGGATTGATGATGTGTGGGGGCTTGTCGGTTGCAAAAGGCCACCCTGAGCAGGAGGGAGAGTTCAGGCTACGAAGGAAATGGATTCCCTTGCAGGGGAGTCTCATTTAATGCTGCCATGCATGGGCCCAGGCTCTGCTGGGGCCTGGTGGAGCCATACTTTGTCCCTTCTCCTGCTGCCCCTTCAGGAGAGGTAGGAAGGGGCTGGTTTAGGAGAGAGACTTGGTTCTTGCTAGAGTTGGGGTGTTCCCAAAGAGCTAGCTGGAGGCCACCCAGCCCACCCCCTGCCGGCTGGCTGCTCCATGTGGCACAGGCATCAGGCCCAAGGCCAGCTAAAGCCCAGCTTGCCTCTCTAAGGCACAGGAGAAAGAACAGCTTTAGGGCAGTAGCTCTGGAGAGCCTTTTCAGCTTATCCTCGGCATCCCTAAATCTCAATGAACACCCCTTTTGGGGAGCCTGCTCACATACCCCATCTCTTCATGTACCCCTCTGAAGCCTGGGAGAGGCCAGCAAAGGGGCCATCCCTGGTCCCCTCCCTTTACCTTACTCTTCCATTACCCAGCACCACCGACCATAGAAAAAGCAGTCTCCTCACACCTGTAATCCCAGCACTTTGGGAGGCCAAGGCGGGTGCATCACTTGAGGTCAGGAGTTCAAGATCAGCCTGGCCAACAGGGTGAAACCACATCTCTACTAAAAATACAAAAATTAGCCAGGCGTTGTGGCGGGCGCCTGTAATCCAAGCTACTCCGGAGGCTGAGGCAGGGGAATCGCTTAAACCCAGGAGGCAGAAGTTGCAGTGAGCCGAGATCACGCCACTGCACTCCAGCTTGGGCGACAGAGCGAGACTTTGTCTCAAGAAAAAAAAAAGCAGTCCCTGTAGCTAGCCTCCTTCACAGTCATCACCCTGGCCAGGGCAGTGACAGTTCCAGGAGATACACGGAAGGCCCTCCCCTCCCTGCCCAGCACACACTTGGAGTGCAGGTCAGCACCTCCCGCAGCTTCCCCTCAACACAGGGCTGGCAAGGTCCAGCAGAGCTCAGTTGAACTGCATAAATCAGCAATCATTTTTTCACTTCTTTTATCTAAGAGTTTTTAGCTAAGGTTATTGATTTTTTTAATAAAAAAAACTTTTTCTTTGACGGTCTCTAGAGACAACTGCGTTGAGCCCCAACCTAGAATGGAGGCAGGGGAGGATTCCTGGCGTTTGTCATGGCTGAGCTTTCAGAATGAAGGATGGACCTTTCTGGACAGGATCCAAGTTTTATTCTGGACAGAGTAAAACCCAATCCCAGCCGGCATGAGCCACTTTTCTGGGAACTATCAGGGCCCTGGTCATCCCCAAAGGAGGCCAAAGGTCCATAGGCTGCAGCTATCTTTCCCCACCCCGCTCCTACTTACAGGAACCTTCCTAGGCTAGAGCCACGCCCACGGGCCCTTACCCCTTGATTCTCATCACAGGTTGGGTGACGGGCAGGGGTCTTACACCGGTTATGGTACCCTGGGGAGTTCCTTGAAGGCTGGGGTAGCTGAGTGAGCCAAATGGGGAAGAGTAGTGGGTTCCTCCAGGCCCTTACATCAGCTCTTCTCACCCCATGGTTGAGGCCAGAGAGGAATGATCTGCTCTTCAGGCAGCCTCTTTTACGCCTTTTCCTCAGAAAACACACACCAGCATTGACGGTTATAAAGATCAAGGGGGCCGGGCGCGGTAGCTCACGCCTGTAATCCCAGCACTTTGGGAGGCCGAGGCAGGCTGATCACGAGGTCAGGAGATCGAGAGCATCCTGGCTAACATGGCGAAACCCCATCTCTACTAAAAATACAAAATTAGCTGGGTGTGGTGGTGGGCACCTGTAATTCCAGCTACTCAGGAGACTGAGGCAGGAGAATGGCTTGAACCCGGGAAGTGGAGGTTGCAGTGAGCCAAGATCACGCCACTGCACTCCAGCCTGGTGACAGAGCAAGACTCTGTCTCAAAAAAAAAGAAAAAAAAAAAAAGATCAAGGGAGCTTGTGGCCCTGGGCTGCCTGACCCTGGCTACACAGGCTTGCGGCAGCAAGAGCCCAGCCTATCTGTTTAGAGGACGCTCAGCAGTTACTCCCAGGAAAATCCCTGCACTTCAGGAAAGGGAAACTGGTGAAAGGATTTGCTTGCCCAACCGTGGCCTGGCCTGAGGAGGCAGTGCTCCACACTCCCAATTCCAGCTTGGGCCCCAGCCCTCACGGGCACCTCTTTGTTCTCCCTCCACAGGTACCTGACGCGCTGGGCTCCTGGCTCTGTCAAGCCCATCTACAAAAAAGGCCCCCGCTGGAACAAGGTGTGCATGCCCGTGGGGTCACCCCTCCTGAGGGACAATGTCTGCTACTCAAGAACACCTTGGAAGCTGTATCACTGACAGAGAGCAGGGCTTCCAGAGTTCCTCCTGCACCTGTGATGGGGAGTAAGAGGCACACTCATAAGCCCTCGGCCACAACTATACTCCAGATCACGATGGCCTGGCCCCTTCGACATGGATGGACAGGGGACAGTGGGACTAACTTTAGTACCTTTGGCCTGTGCAGTAGCAATGCTGGGAGCTAAAGGCAGGCAGGGCAGTTGGGTCCCTTGCCAGGTGCTGTGGGGCTTGGGCCATGCTCAGTGCTGGGGACAGGAGTTTTTCCCAATACAGTGTCATAAACATTCAGTTGTGGGCTCGTAGGCTTACCCACTGGGTGTGTGCTCACTGCTTGGGAAGTGCAGGGGGTTCTGGGCACATTTCCAGTTCGGTGCAGTGTTGAGTCACTGATCTCTTGTGATGGGACCAATGAGTCAATTGAAAGGAATTCATGGGCCAAACAGGTCCCATCCTCTTCATGACAGCTGTGAGCTCCTTACTCTGGGAGAGCTGCAAGGAGCCAAGGTGGGCTACCTGACACACTTGCCGCTCTCGTGTGAATCCAAGAAACTGCCTTCCTCAAAGGGGCCCTGGTTGTCACTTCCCGCAGCCATTTCACCCATCATTGTCTAGTATCTCTTTTATTAGCACATTCCAACCCTCTGCCACTTGGTGTAGAGATGAGCTCCCTGGCTCAGTGGGCCTTTCAGAACCTGGAACCAGATGGAGGTGGAGATAAGAAGGTAAGACAGAACAGACGGGCCAAGTTCACTGAAGCTTAAGAAAATCATGTTTAGACTGTTTTAAAAAATCCAGGCTGGCTTCCATTCTATAGCATGAAAGGCAAGTCCATGTTCTTCTCACCAGTGCCCACGTAGATGTAGCCATAGTGCTTGGTGCGGGGAGCATGGTAGAAGGTGAGGCCTGGCCAGAGCAGGCTGCGAAGCACCACCAGGGCATTGCCTCTCTCCATCTGGATACTCCAGGACCCTGAGAGGAGACAGGCAGGAGGTGAGGCCTGGGTGCTGCTAGAGCCAGAGCTCTGCCCTTCGTGCTGTGGCCCCTGGCTCCTTGGGCAGCCAAGCCCAGGTGCTAAGGTTCCACTGGAGAAAGACCATTTAATTCTCCAGGTGCTTTACTCCCTGACTGCCTTTTAGCCATTATTATTTTCGTTTTAAGAGACATGGTCTCACTCTGTCACCCAGGCTGGAATGCGGTGGTGCAACCACAACTCAACCTCAGCCTTGACTCCTGGGCTCAAGCAATCCTCCCACCTTAGCCTCCAGAGCAGCTGGGACCATGGGCATGCACCACCATACCCAGCTAACTTTTTTGGTTTTTTGTAGAGATGGGGCCTCACTGTATTGCCCAGGCTGGTCTCAAACTCCTGGGCTCAGGCGATCCTCCCACCTTGGCCTCCCAAAGTGCTGGGATTACAGATGTGAGCCACCACACCCAGCCCTTTTAGCCATCTCACTGCTCATTAAAACAACTTTCAGGGGGAGGGCAAAGGAAATGAAAAGAGGTGAAACTCAAACCAGTCTGTTTTGTTCCTGTCAGCAGGTCTAGCTAAAGGTTGAGTTGGGGAGGAGGCTGAATCCACAGGCAGAAGGGAGTTGGGCTGCACCAAGGGAGAGACACTGACTCCTCCCACACTACCCAGTACAGTCACCAGTTCTAGTGTGGTTTGCTCCTACTTGCCGTTTTGCTCTGTCTTCCCCATTTCCTGAAGCCTCTCCTGAGTTGGATTAGACCAGACCAGGAAAGGAAGGCTCAGATAGAAGTTTGGGCAGTTCAGGCCTCCTAGCTCAGTGGCCCTTTCTGGCAGCTGGTAGACTGGGAGCCATCCTTGGTGGGAGGGGACTTGGGCTGCCCCTAGTGAGCCTTTGTCCTAGGTTCTGCCCTGGTTTTTGCCTCCCCACACAGGAGCAGCCCAGCTCAGGGCTGAGTCGTGCAGCCATGAGGACTTGGCTGGAAGGGCCTGATTCAGCTCCAGAACCCAGGGAGGGAGCCACAGTGTGGGAGGAAGGAGCCTGGGAAAATCGCCTCTGGATGCAGATCTGGGGCTTCTATTCCCCTGCGCACTGAGGCCTCTCCCGGCCCAGCCACAGCCCTGCTCCAGGCCCTGCCAGAAAGGCAAATGCTTTGAAAGTTTTGGTGTTGGACCAGCCAGCCATGCGCTGAGAGCTGCTCTTCGGCCTTCATCAGCTGCCAGCTCAGCCCGGCTGCTTGGCTCCTGCTGCCCCAGCTTCCCACAGGCCACCTCCAACCATGGTCCACCCTAGTCACTCCACACCCTGCAGCCTCACAACTCAGTCCCCACCCACTGAGGGCCACCCTGCATCCAAGAAACCTGATTGCCAGGAACCCCTGACCCTCATGGCAGCTCACCCCTACTCAGGGTACAGCCGCCTGCCCAGGTCAAAACCAGAGTTTTCTGGGAGTATATAGTTTGGCTGTCCCTGGTCCTGCTCAGGGAGAAGCCAGTCACAAAGCTCACTTGAGCACTGTGCAGTGGCCAGCACCAAGTGCCATCACCCATGCAAAGGTTGAAGTCAGATTCACAGTGTGGACTTGTCAGCTCCACACAGTACCTGCTGGACAACATCAAGAAGAAAGTAGTGTCCCTGTGTTAGCCAGGCTCCGGCTGGAACACTGCCCCGAGAAGGAGTATTTCCCCTGACTCTTAAAAGTTTTCTCTGGGTGCTTGGGGTCCTCTGCCTCTCAGACCTGCCCTCAGAGTTTGATAGTCCCTAGCCTGGTACTTTCCTGGTCATGCATCTCCAGAAAAGAGATTGCTTAGGGTTGATGAGGGTCGGGGGTCCAACAAGACAAAGTGTTCCTACTCCACTGCTTCAGCCTTGGACAAGAAGCACAGACCCAGGAAGATCCCATTCCCTCCCTTGATCACCCCACCAGCCTGGAGTATCATCAGGGTTCAGACTCCATAGGACACAGTCCCTCAGCCCCTTGAACTAAGAAAGACCAGACTGCCTCATCTGTATCTGCCTACCAAGGGAGGGCAGCTTGCAGCCTGCCTGGGCCAGGTGCCCTGGAGAAAATGGAATCCTGGAGTCCTCTAACCTAGACCCTTCTCAGTTCATTGCTGCCAGCACCTTAGCATGCCTGGGCAAGGGCTTGGTCCTGCCCTGCCCTCACACCAGCCTGCCTGCCTAGGCTTTGGCCACCTCTTGCCACCAGTATATAATGTGGGGGGCAGGGGGCAGTGTTCTTGGACAGAGTGGCCTAGGCCTATCGCGGGGACTCCTACCCAGAGAGCAAGGAGAAACTGGCAGGGCAGCTAGGGAAATACAGTGCCCCCGCCTGGCAGGGGGCAATGCTGCGCAGGCGGAAGGGTGCTGGTGGAATACGGTAGCAGCATGTGGGGCCAGTCAGAAACAGCACTGCCTCCCTCCCTCGCATTCCTGTCACACTCCTGTCCTCTCCTCGTCCCTGGCTCAGCTGGTCACCCGGGAAACACACAGACTCAACGTGCCAGGAGTCACGTAGCATCTACCTGAAGAGCCAAGCACTTGCTGTCACCTTCACCCACTTTCTTACTGCAACTGCTGAATAGGCTGAGCCTAGCCAGCTGCTGTCGCCGCCTCCAGGACTCAGGGAAAAGCCCCCTGCAGACTTGGTGCTGCAGGTTCACAGCCCCCGCTCTCTCTTTTCTCCCCAGTCCCTCCTGCCCCATAGCAGCCACTCTTCTCCAGAAGCTGTGTTTTGAGGATGTGATGGGTACAGGTTGGTAAGTCAGGAGGGGGGCCTCCTGGGTTTCCTGGGCTCTCAGGGTCTCGCCCACCTTGCTAGTATGGAAACCTCATGCTGGGGCGTACTTTAATTACATTCTCCTGCCATCCTGGAAGAAAGGCAGCTCTGGGATTAAGATCGACGGAGAGTAGGCCAGGCTGGGGACCAGGGCTGTCCAGGGGCAACAGATGGCTTAAATCCTCTCAGATGAGCACCAACAAAATTTTCGTCACACAAAAAAATAAATGGCCATGGGTTCCCAGTGGGAGAAGCACCCCCCACGCCCTGCAAGGGCCATAAGAATCATACCGCCTAGACGCCTGAGGACAGAGGAGGAAGGAGAAACCCCTGGTTGCCAGACCCCTATCAAATCGATGAGTAGCAATCAGGCTGCGTGGCCCAGAAGGCTGAACACTTGTCAGCCAGGCTTCCAAGGAACTGGGGCAGGAAGAGCCACCTGCACACATCCCGAAGGGAAGGCTGACCCTGGGCACCATGTGCTCCGCCACCCTCGGCCCCGTATGCTTGCCTCCCTCGCCCCCTTCCCGGTCCTCTACAACCACCAGCAGCAGCTTTCAAAGGCTGCTTTCCAGGGTGGCAGGCCCATTGCTGCCCTCTGCTGCCTGAACTGAGCATTGCTGCTGAGAAATTGCTTGGGAAGGAGCCCCAGTCTGTCTGCACCTGGAAATTCTGAGGCCTCTGCACCAGCCCAGAGTGGAGCAAGGAGAGGAGCAGTGCCCTCCAGCCCTCCTCTTTTACCTCCCAGGATACCGATTCTTGCAAGGCACCTTCTAGTTTACATTTCCCTTTCCTATCCTCTGTTTCATTTGATCTTCCCAAACCTCTGAGGCAAGGGAGGTGTCTTTCTTATTCCAAGGGCATCACAGGTACCTGTTGTAGCTGCTCCGTGGCTATTTGCTGATATAGTGGATGTTCAGGGAGCACTGAATGGCAAGATACTGCCTAGGAATCTAGGCTCCTGACTGGCATGGTGGCTCACGCCTGTAATCCCAGCACTTGGAGAGGCTGAAGTGGGCAGATCACCTGAGATGAGGAGTTCGAGAGCAGCCTGGCCAACATGGTGAAACCTCATCTCTGCTAAAAATACAAAAATTAGGCATGGTGGCATGCACCTGTAATCCCAGCTACTTGGGAGGCTGAGGCAGGAGAACTGCTTGAACCCAGGAGGCAGAGGTTGTAGTGAGCCGAGGTGGCAGCAAGACTCTGTCTCAAATATATATATATATATAGCCTCCTGACTCACAGCTGCATCTGTGCCACCTGGCTGCAGCCCAAGGTCAGAGAGCTCTTAGTCATTACCCTGGATCCAGCAGGAGGACGGTCCTGCCACCCCAGAACCAGCTACCCACTCCCATGGAACTTTGCAGATCCCTGGACACGGCATGACAACTCATGAGGACAACAGCTCTCCCGCTCCTCTCTTCGGCCAAGGTGTCTCTTGTCACTTTGGCCAAGGGACAAGATGTCGAGTCATTGGCCTACCTCATGGACACAGAGCAGGAGTCCCAGGAACAGGGCCAACCTAAACCACACCTGCTCAGAAGCCACATGAAGTCACCCTGAACAACTGCCTCAGACCCTGAAAGGGAACAGTTATCCTAACTGGCCAGAAAACAGTTGCCAAATCCCATCCCTCCAGCCAGTTCTGGTGTCCCAGGGAACTCCTCCTTGGGGTTTTGGCCCCAATTAGCAGCCCAGCCCAGCTGCTGCCTGCCTGGCAGGGGAGCCTCCAAGCAGCTCAGACTGCTCTTTTCCTAGCTGATAAGGAAGGGGACTAGGGAGGAAAATCAGCTGTCTGTTCTCCTGTGACCATCCACACTTCCACTCCATCGCCATGACCCTCATCAAACCATCATGAGCAAAAGGTGGGCCTAGGCTGGGCATGGTTTTTACAGGCTTACACCTGTAATCCCAGCACTTTGGGAGGCTGAGGTGGGTGGATCTCTTGAGCTGAGTTGTTCAAGACCAGCCTGGGCAACATGGTGAAACCTCAACTCTACAAAAAATACAAAAACTAGCCAGGCATAGTGGTCCACACCTGTAGTCCCAGCTACTCGGGAGGCTGAGGTAGGAGGATCACTTGAGCCTGGGAGGTGGAGATTTCAGTGAGCCAAGATTGTCCCACTGGCCACTGCACTCCAGTCAGGGCAACAGAGCAAGACCATGTCAAATTAAAAAAAAAAAAGAAAAACTGCGCCTGACTTCCTGGAGGCCTT